GCGTCTGGAACACTATCAGGTGCGTATATGGGATGCTTGTGCTTGATTGCTGGAGAATCAGCCCAATGAAGACCAGCTGTTAATACCTGGATCTTCATTTCATTCCTTTTAAATTATTCTAAACTGTTACTCCAATTCCACAACCATAAAAGCCCTTCAGACTTAACAAACCTTTTCAAATTTCGATCTTGGCACTTTTTCTGCCCTATAAATGATTCCTTTCACTCAGCCACAGCCTGATTTGCAAACAACCTAGCTGTGACTGACACATCTCCAACTTCATTGTGGTTAGGTGCACATCAGATCATCTCCTATCTCAGAAAAAACTTAAACAGACATGTAAGAATCATATAATTCACAATCAAATAAGCCAGCATCATTCACTCACTATTGTCACAAACAAGGCATTGGGAAAGATCCATGACTGCCTTGAAAGGCTACCGCAAGGTCTATAGTGTCATTATCCAGTGACTTGGACCTAAGGGCCAGAATGTAGGAGCCTTATTAAAGCTGGGCAAAGAAAAGAAAAATCTGAGAAAGAGGTCAACAGCGGTAAGCAGGTATCTGGAAATGTGGAAAACCATCGCAATTTGGCTATGGCAGAGCAAAACGTGATACATGTGTCATTAAATTCAAGTGTAGGCACTCCAGCATAATCAATCATGTTATGGCTTTGCAGAGGAAACAATCCATTCTCACGTCCTCATGGGAATTCTTGGTTTCTGGGAGGCCTTACTTCAAGTTGAAGTATAGGAAAGTCACTTAGTGGAGGCATGAATCCAGGACATTGCATTGTTTCACAGAGTGAAAATCTTGATCCTCCACCTCTTCCCTCACTGCTTTAGGCAGGAACAGGACATTGAGGAAGATGGAATATGTACATTTCTAGTATTAAAAATTGGGTTATCGGGCCCGGCGCGGTGGCGCAAGTGGTTAAGGTCCTCGCCTTGCACGCCCGGGGTCCGATATGGATGCCAGTTCTAATCCCAGCGGCCCCTCTTCCCATCCAGCTCCCTGCTTGTGGCCTGAGAAAGCAGTCAAGGACTGCCCAAATCTTTGGGACCCTGCACCCGCGTGGGAGACCCGGAAGAGGCTCCTGGCTTTGGATCGGCATAGCATCGACCATTGCGCTTGCTTGGGGAGTGAATCATCGGACGGAAGATCTTCTTCTCTGTCTCTCCTCTCTGTATATCCGCCTTTGCAATAAAAATAAAATAAATCTTTAAAAAAAATTGGTTATTTCTCCAGCTTAAGAACTACTTCAAGTGTTCTTAATTGCTGCATGTCTTTGGCTAGTATGCACAGAATCACTGTTTAGTTCTACAATAGATATATTTTTTCCCACTATTTTGTATTTTGTTTGCACACCACCCCAGAGTCTCATTTGCTGTGTTGAACATTGTTCTCTTTGACATATTACCTATTATGTCACCACACAGGATAATGTTGGGAAATAGGAATATCTCAATCATTTTTACTCTGTAATATTCTTTCTTCTGTGTTCAAGTGGTTTTGAACAGTTTCTAAAGTCATGGTCACAGATGCTTGAATCTTGTCTTCCCCACTCACAGCATCATCCAGATCACACCCATGTAGGGTACTCCAGAATGTGCAGACGACCTTTCACATAGACAGGAAACCTAACCAAGAGGATCTAAGCAGAGAATGAACAAATGAACAAACACTTGAAGACATGTCATTTATTAACATTGAGGCATTTAGGAAGCCTAAATAAACCAATAACCACAATACTGTTACATCAGTTATAAAGAATCTCCCAAGAAAAGTTCAGGTTCAGATAGCTTTAATGTTAAGATCTACCAAACTTTTAAGAAAGCATGAATTTTTCTCCAACTATTCAATACAATTGAAAGGGAGGACCCCTTCCAGACACATCCTATGAGAGCCAGAGAAGATACAACAAAAAGAGAATCACAGATTTTTGCAAAGCGCAAGGGAGATCACGCCAGACATAAGCATAGAGTTGAAGAATCCTTTATTATCCAAACTTGGCAACAGCAGCTCCCACCCCACTCCAGGAGGTACTGTTCCAAGCAGCAAACTTCATGGGTTTTTAAGCTCTCATCTCCCAATCTGATTGAGAATCAAAGCAGTACAAAGTTTTAGACAGGAAGGGAGTTATCAGAGCCCAAACTTTAACACTAGAAGCACAATAGAAGCTTGGAGGGACCGTGCCCGCACTAGCCACTGGCGCAATCTCTGCACTGTCAGCTATTCTGAATGGAGCAAAAGGCAGGAGGGGTGGGGCACCTGTCAATTAACTTGAAAGGTGCGAAGCAAGGTACAAGGGTGGGGTGTGGAAACTCCATTCCCATGCCGTATCCCTGTCTATTAACTTGACAACCGGGTGTGAGCCATCAATGACCACACCCCTTTACAAGACCAATACCCCTGATCTCAATAAAATTGCAAAAATCCTCAATAAAATTGTAATCCAATGACACATCCAAAAGATCACCCACCCTGACCAAGTGGGATTTTTCCCATGGATCCAGAAATGGATTAACCAAAAAAAAAAAAAAAAAAACAAACAAACAAACAATGAACATAACATTTTGCATAAAGAAAAGAGTAAAGAAGCCAGGAAGAAAACTAGTGCCACTTCAGGATCTAAACGCTGCAAGGTGAGGAGACAATGGATGCTTGAAATGTTCCACTGAATTAAACAATAGACACTTTTTTTTCTCGTTTTCATAATAAGGATCATGGAGAATGTGGATATTGATCCCACCACCTCTCCTATGCTAAGCAAGCACTCTACCACCTGAGCTAATTCTCCACCCAGCGCTGCAGTTTTCATCCCATTTCACTAGTGGGCAGCACAGCCACCTTCACACCGTGCCCTCTGCTTCTAGAAGCGCCCAAGAGCTCAAATAAGCCCTTTCTCTTCACCACCTGTGGAACTCCCTTGGCCCAGCAACAATCGCTAAACAGCCAAGACAACAACCAGGTCTACTCACCTCAGCCAGGAGAAGGGAAGAAGGAGAGAAATGGTGTGGGGAAAACTGGGGGGCAGCCAAACTCAGACCAGTTTCACTGTGGTTCCTTTGAAGATGCCAGCGAGCCACTGGGCTGCAGTTTCTCAAGGTCAGGGTGGGAGGTGGGTGTGTTGATGGCAGAGGGGCTGGTGAAAAATGAAAAGGAAAGAAGATGATGTTTCCACCCGGTTTCGAACTGGGGACCTCTCGCATAGTTAGGCGAGCGTGATGACCACTACACTACAGAAACAACAGTATGTACAAACTTTCTTCATCTATACACATGTACTCAACATGTTCTTATCTAATCAATGCGTACTTGCCCATGTTTTGCTCTGGCCCTTTCAAAAATCTTGTCTTCCTCTTTACCACTTTGCTTCTCAAGCGTCACCAGGAAACCTCTTTGACTTGATCCTGCTTCACGCTTCCTTTACCTTCCACTCCTACTGCACCACAAGATCAGCCTCAGAAACAGGATATTTTTTAAATGATGTCTTGGACATATTTTAAATGATGCACTGGACATATTTTAAATGGTGTATTGGAAATATTGATGTCATATTTGTCAGTAGAGCCATCCAAAGTAGCTGCTGAGAAATGAGAGAACAATTTTTGGTGGAATTGAATTCCTGGATCTATGAGCTAATACGTTCAATTGTCATTGAGCTATTCTAAAGGCATGTCCAACATTTTTTTGCTGTTCTCTGCACCATGTCCTACAGCTGACTGCACTGTGCTTTCACTGTGGGGCAGGGGGAGGAGTCTTCCACTTAGTTGTTGGAGTGTGGCTCCACTGGTGAGGGGATTGTCCAGCATAATCATGGCTGTGGATTCAATACTGTGCTCTTTTGAGCTCAAATGTCAGGTGAGGGAATTGGGATGGCACTCAGAACACTCTGTGCAAAGACAAGAACTCCAGATATCTTGTTCCCCATGCTTGCCAACAAGCGCTGGCAAATTTGTCCTTTTGTGTCTCACGTTGTGTACTACGGCCCCAAATGTGGCACAGTCCTGAAAAGGCAGGGCACAGCACCCAGAGAAGAACCCTGACATTCTGCTCAAGACTGTGGAGATGGAAGTGGCTGTCAGTCCTACTGTAACTGTGAGGCCAAAATCAGTGAACTTACTCACAAACCAGAAAAATATGGACAACATTGCAAGGCTTTGGAAATGGATCTGATATTGAAAACGCATCAGAAAGCTCCTTGCTGCTTGTAGATTTTCAGTGCCTTGGCTACACTCTGAGCTACTTGCAGAAACAACAGTAGCAATAGTGGACACAAGATGTGAACAGGTGCTAAATGTCAAGGCTGCATCCCACATTGCTCAACAGAGCAAAACCAGGAAACTCCAACTCCAGTGAGAAATGGCAATCTATACACATTGAAGACAAAGATGAGATACTTGAAAATATGGTCCTGAAGTTGTGATGATTTTCCAAGAAGGAAGGACACACACTGTTCAAATGGATAAAAGCCAGGAAGTCTCAGTAAACATGCTTCTGATAAAGAAAACTAAATTGCAATATTATCTCTGTTACAAACCAAACTCAACAGAACTTCTGAAAACAACTTTGTGTAGAGGAAGGAGAGGGAAGAGTTAGTGACTTGAATAGAAAGCAGTGACTAATAAGAGCAGCAAAATAAAATGTATTAAAATGAACAGACCTTCAGGGATCAACAGGGAAATAAAGATGAACCATTCACATCTTTAATACCAGACATGGAGGGAAAGGAGTTGCCAGCGAAAAGTGGTGTGTGAATGAATAGAAGGCTTCCCCGAGTTGGCAGAAGACATCACCGTACATATTCCGGAAAGTGAAGGAAACGTGAAGCAGGATCAAGTCAAAGAGGTTTCCTGGTGACGCTTGAGAAGCAAAGTGGTAAAGAGGAAGACAAGATTTTTGAAAGGGCCAGAGCAAAACATGGGCAAGTACGCATTGATTAGATAAGAACATGTTGAGTACATGTGTATAGATGAAGAAAGTTTGTATGTACTGTTGTTTCTGTAGTGTAGTGGTCATCACGCTCGCCTAACACGCGAGAGGTCCCTGGTTCGAAACCGGGTGGAAACATCGTCTTTCCTTTTCATCCTCTTTCATTTTTCACCTCCCCCTCTGCCATCAACACACCCACCTCCCACCCTGACCTTGAGAAACTGCAGCCCAGTGGCTCGCTGGCATCTTCAAAGGAACCACAGTGAAACTGGTCTGAGTCTGGCTGCCCCCCAGTTTTCCCCACACCCTTTCTCTCCCCTTCTCCTGGAGGAAGTGAGCAGTCCTGCTTCTCTTGCAATTTAGCGATTCTTGATGGGCTAGGGGAGTCCCGGGAGCCTTTGAAGCAGTTCGATTTTCCCTGTGAGCTCTTGGCCGACTGCGAGGTGCAAATGCTATGGCTTCCTCCAGTGAAATGGGATGAAAATTGCAGTGCTGGGTGGGGAGTTAGCTCAGGTGGTAGCGTGCTCGCTTAGCATGTGAGAGGTGGTGGGATCAATACCCACATTCTCCACACTCTCTTACTACCTCAGATTTTATGAAATCAAAATGAAACAGATTTGAACATGTCAGCCATTACATTGATCTCTCAAAGCACATTCTTCCCTTTTGCTTCAGAGAAACAGCACAGAATGGAAGAACACACTCAATTGGTCTGCCATCTGCTACTGTACTTCTCACTAACAGCAGCAGGACATAGCTCTGATCATGGAGCAATTGCATAGTGTAGTGTGGTCATCATGAGAAAGACAGTTGTCATTTCTCATAGGATTTACAATTTCTTACTTCCCTCTGTACTATTATGAAGGATCCTTCCTGTCCAAGGAAATGCTACGTGAGTCTCCCAATGTTGCTCTATGGAAGCTGGTTCAAACTCAGCTTACAACCGACCATCACTCCCATCTTGGAAAGAAAGGTCTCCCTCTGAAGGTCCACATGGTCACTAGGTAAGGAAAGGACCTTGAAGAACTGAGTGCTCTGAGAAGAAAATACAGAACATCTCAGGCAGAGAGGACAGACTTTCAATTTGTGTGTTGCATTCAACATAATTTGAAAACACATCTAACTAGACCACTTGTCTACTTATTGGATGGAAGAAGAGTAATTTGAACTTCCTCCCTCCTAAGACAGAGAAGAGCTCTTTCTGATCACTTTAGATTTAAAATAGACAGTTGTGTTGGAAACAGATTCTCCTTTGGGAGGATGTGTGCACTCATCAAACTCTGCTTCACAAATCCTCTAAGAAAAAGCCCACCATTCTACAGGCCGCAGCGCCTGCTAAAATTTCCCTTTTCCTCCACAGTTTATCTTTCTGCCAGGATTCTAGAGTCTTCCTACCTGGGAAAACAGGAAGGGTCAGCTCAGTTCACCAAGGCCAGCCAATAGCAGAGTCTTCCCTCCTTCTGGGTACCAAGTCAGCTGACAGTCCCAATCCATTTTAAAGTGAGTTAACTGGCATCTCAGGGTTGGCTTGTAGCTCTAGTGGGAAATGTATCCAGTTGCAACCCTTTCCATCCCTTCTAGGCAAACAAGTAGAAAAATGTTGGAGATCGTCCCAGCACTGGCCTAGTTTAGGTCTTTTTTCACCACACACACCATGAGAGATGCAGTGCCTGTGCACAGTGCTTGTGGCTGGGCTCCTCTGCCAAAGAAGGTCTTGATTGCTTTTCATGCCAGAGCTCCTTATGGAATGTTCCTGAGACAGACAAATGGTTGGTTAAGTCCATCATACCTACCTCTTCCTACCTCTGCTTACCTGGCTTAATTGCCAAAAGTACAGCTGCTCCTGTGGTTGGAACAAGTGGGGTTACAGCTGTGTCCTCCCAGTTCAGCACATTCCTTTGCAGCTGGGATCGCCATTGAGGATGGGGGGAGTGGGTGGGGAGGAGAGCAGTGCTCTCCACATAGTCAGCACTGCAGGGCCACCTAGGGTGAACCTGGCAGCTGCCTCCTCCTTGCTGTGTACTACACAGATAGAGGTCATTTCTGAAAAGCCTTTTGGGATCATAGGAGTAATGTATAATGAAACTGTGGCCACACCCTCACTCATTGAGGAATAGACCATAACAGCAGAATTTGAATGTTCAGAGCCAGCGGCATTAAAATTCTTGGGCAGTGAACATTGAAAAATAATCAAACAAATAAGCACACTGAGAAGGGCAGACAACTAGAGATTTGAAGTCTGGACTCTCTGCATGCTGCCAGTACACAGGTCAGGAACCAGCTCTACCATGCAGAGTGCCCTCCCTTCCTTAGCGTGACTCCCCAACACAGCCACTGATTCTGCACTCAGTGACCTTGTATATCAATGTTTAGTACTTTTAAGTGTTTAGAAAGTATATTTTAAGGTACCTTTAACATAGCACATTAGACAAAAAAAAAAATCCTTTTTGAGGAGTAGGCATGTGAAAACTGAAGCATCTGTGAACCTCTATCCACATTACTTCCAAGCTGATGCAGAAAGGAGACATAATGCTAAGTGCTTGTCAACAAAATGCCACCTGGACTGCGACTTCCTAAGCGTGGATACAAGCATTTGTGATAAACTGTTTAAAAGTTGCAAATTAGAAAGAACCTCTTTTTGCTAATTCACATACTAATGGATGTGTGCTAACTTTTAACAATTGGGGGGAAGGTCAGTACAGCTCAAAATACATAAATATTCACCTCTAATGAGAAAAGCAAAGAAGCAAAAAGCTTTTCATGTGCATCTCCAAGACTTTCCGACTCATGATTTACATTGGATGAAGTGTGTTAGAAAATTGTGACCTTGGTCATAGTTGAGCAGTTAATCTCAATTCTGGTTTTGATACTTTCTTTCTGAAATAAAGAAATATGGCAAGAGAAAAAATATGTTGAGTGATTAACCGTTTCTAACACTCAGCTGTTTTTCCAACTGGATCCTGAGCTTTGGTTGTGTTGGGAAGGATGAGATAACAAGTCCAAGGAACCTGGACCCTCTGAGATCTGCTCATCATCAAGCTGCTGTCTTCTCATTAGTGCAGGTTCAATGTAATCAGGATCAAGAAGTTTCTGGACTTGACAGTTAAGAGCACAGCAGGGAGAGGGCAGAACTGGCGCCAGGGACCCAGAGCACCCTGAAGGAGCCAAACTCATCACACTGACATGCTGACATCAGTGACAGCATCCCTGAGTGCTGGGACTCAGGTAAGGATAAACAGGTCTGGCTGTGCTGTTCTCTTACAGCTGCTGCCACAGCCCTGCAGACTGCTCAGGTGAGTGAGGCTGAGTATGTGTGTGCAGGGGTAGCTGCCTTTGCTCTGGAAGGGAAGCTATTCCAGCTAGAACTGGTCAGGGCCAGGCTAGGTGAGGAAATGTCTTACCTTCCCTGTCTCCTGTGGAAGAGGAAGATGTGAGTGCCCCGGGAGAGGGTAGCTATCACTTCCCAGTGCAACCAGCAACACCACCTGCTTGTGTGGCCCTGGAGGGAGATTCTGTGCAGCAGAGCCACTGATGCCCTGAGCCTGAGGCTGCTGCATTTCCCAGGTGTGAGGGAGACTGGGGGCATCAGGCAGCAGTGGGCTGTCAGCCTGGGTGGGGAGCTGCTCCTCTCACAGGCTCCAGGCTTTGTGCACCTTCTCTCCCTGCACTGGGACTTTGTTTTGTTTTATTTTCACTTCAGTAACCCTTCCTTCTGATGTCCCTCGGTGCTTTTAGGATGGAACATTCTTGGCTTCTTGTCCATGTTTTTATTTTTCTCTCAATTTTTTTTCTTTCATAGACCCACAATGCAGCACAATAACTAATTATAGAGACTTGAAAAAGTCATTACCAGTGTGAGAACATATAATGATAGTGACAACTGACAACCATTTTGAAAATCAGTCTTTCCTCCTGCACTATCACAAGCTCACATGATCTTTACTATGGACTGGGTTGGTACAAAACACCACCCCATTAACAATTTAGGGCACTGGCTCTGAATGAGGCCAGGTAGTATTTCCAAATGCTATAAAGGAATGTTCTCTGAAAAAAAAAAATAAAATAAAAAGAGTAGCAGGGGAAGCAAGGGGAAAAAAGGAACAAAAGAAAAAGATAGACTTCTATCTTATCCCACCAACAACAAGCATGATACAGAAGCCTTTTCACCCACTGTCTCACCTTAGGCCGAGGTCTGGGCCTTTCTGTCCCTTCTCAGTACATTGGTTACTGGGCAGTGAGGTTGATAAGGAGTAAGCCACTGCTTTAGGTCAAGTGCAGTTCTTTGGAGAAGCCACCATTCACTTATATATGATTCACACGTACATTTTGTGTTTTTACTAACACATAGTAGTTGTACAGATCTGTGGGCCTTGGCGTGACGTTTCATGCTTGAATACAATGTGTAATGATTCGAGCATAATAAATGTCATGCCCCAATACCTCACATATTTCTCTTTTCTTTGTGTTTAGAACATTCAAAGTGCTCTCTACTAGCTGTTCCAAAAAAGACAATTGTTTTTTTGTCAGTGTTAGAGTCTTGCTGTGCTAGGGATGTTAGTAGTCTGGGTAACTCAAGTTTCTAGTTAGTTATACCCTTCTACCCATTAACCTTGTTCTCTGCACCTGCGCAGCCCCTACAACCTTGCTAGCCTGCAGTAAGATCTTCCCTATTGTCTATTTGTAGGGAATGAACTTTTTCGCTTTCACATAAAAGTGAGAACATGGGGTGTCTTTCTCTATGCTCATTTGGGGGCTGGTAATGAGGCTGTGGCAGAGGCCCTGGCATGGCCCAGTGGGGTTGATTATTGAGGAGCCTCCCACGGAAGGTCCTTTTCCCTATAAAAGTGAAGGTCCTCAGGATCCTGGCTTCCTGGACATTAAATCTGCGGTTTTCTGGGAAGACTCCTCATGTACTTGGACATGAAGGATCTGTAGTTCTTGTGTAAAGTCAGGTAGAAGAAATAACACAGGCTTTATTTTTAATTATAGTATCATCCTCTCTCTTACAACAGAAAAAAGCAACAAAGAAAGTACAAGGAGAGACGAGAAGCCTGGTGATAACGAGGAAAGAACTTAAACACGAGTACGGGACCAGGTCATGTAAGCTGGTTCAGTCAGTCTAGGAACATAGAATGTAA